TTGGGCCGCATCCGGCGCCGGCGCAGCGGGAAGGAAGCGGTGGTGGGCTGGGTGGTGAAGCGAACCCAAAGGCTGTACTTTGATGCAGTGCACCCGTTGAAAAAATGCTGCACCCGCTGGCGTTGGGAGGAATTGGGAGCAGCTCCTACTTGGGGTTGAGCGACCTGGACCAAGCAGGAACCTGGAAAAAAAGCAGTGGTTCAACGCCCCGACCCCCCTGCTTTCATAAAAACACGCAAGAACTGTGCTTTGATGTCTAATTATCCCGGCAAGAGACCCCAAACAGTGTGTGTGTGTGAGGTCTGTAAGCAGAAAGTCTAGAGATCTAGACGCATTGGGGTCCAGAGAGGTGATGGTGGTGATGCAGGGGATCGTGGTTGGCGGTGGTGGTGAGTGAGTGAGTGTGAGTGCGAGCGTGAGTGAGAGGGAAGGTGGGTGTGAGTGAGTGTGGGTGAGAGGGAGTGTGAGTGTGAGTGAGAGTGAGAGTGGGAGAGTGAGTGAGAGTGCGAGTGTGAGTGAGAGTGAGTGTGGGTGAGAGTAAGTGTGGGTGAGAGTGAGAGTGTGAGGGGGTGTGAGAGTGGGAGAGTGAGTGTGGGTGAGTGAGTGCGCGTGTGAGTGTGAGTGCGAGTGTGAGTGAGGGCGACTGAAAGTTTGCGAGTGGGAGAGTGAGTAAGTGTGAGTGTGAGGAGGGTGAGTGTGAGTGGGAGTGGCAGAGTGAGTGTGTGAGTGTGCGTGTGAGTGAAAGTGGGAGAGTGAGAGTCATCTGAGAGAAAGTACTGCGCATGCCACGAAATCTGCACTTCGAGGTTCACCAAGTGCTGCGCCTGCCACGAAATCTGCACTTCGAGGTTCACCTGACGCTGTGCCTGCCACGAAATCTGCACTTCGAGGTTCACAAAGTGCTGTGTCTGCCACGAAATCTACACTTCCAGGTTTACCACATGCTACGCCTGCCACGAAATCTGCACTTCGAGGTTCACCAAGCGCTGTGCCTGCCACGAAATCTGCACTTCGAGGTTCACCAAGCGCTGCGCCTGCCACACACCAAGTGCTGTACCTGCCACGAAATCTGCACTTCGAGCTTCACCAAGTGCTGTGCCTGCCACGAAATCTGCACTTGGAGGTTCACCAACTGCTGCGCCGAAATCTACACTTCGAGTTCACCAAGTGCTGTACCTGCCACGAAATCTGCACCTCGAGGTTCACCAAGTGCTGACTCGCCACGAAATCTGCACTTCAAGGTTCACCTCCCACGAAATCTGCACTTCGAGGTTCACTAAGTGCTGCACCTGCCACGAAATCTACACTTCGAGGTTCACCAAGTGCTGTGCATGCCACGAAATCTGCACTTCGAGGTCCACCAAGCGCTGTGCCTGCCACGAAATCTGCACTTCGAGGTTCACGAAGTGCTGTGCCTGCCACGAAATCTGCATTTCGAGGTTCACCAACTCCTGTACCTGCCACGAAAACTGCACTTCGAGGTTCACAAGGTGCTGCACCTGCCACGAAATCTGCACATCGAGGGTCGCAGAGTGCTGTGCCTGCCACGAAGTCTGCAAACGAGCCACATGTCCAAAAGTCACGATTTTCATTGCACCTGTCACAAAATCTGAGCTCCTCGACGATCACCACCATGTCCAAAGTGCCGCGCCTGCCACGAAAACTGCACTTCGAAGTAAAACAGCTCCGATCCCTTGCACCTGTCACGAAAAGTCGACTTTGAAGCACCGAAGCACGAGGTTTCCCTTGCACCTGCCACGACAAGTGACCACCATGTGCGAAAATGCACACGGCACCACAACGAGAGTGCAGTCGCTAGAAGCACCCGCCGCCGGCACCCAGAATTTGCGAGCCTGCGCAGTCGAAATGCACTTCGACGATTTCGAGAGGCATGAATGTACTGTAAATAGCAGCGAATTAGCCGGACACACCCGCGAGGCACACCTATCTAAGCACACCTGCTTTTCCGTACCATAAGAACCCCTAGTGTGTCCACACTGTTTGGGGAAAAAAGACCGCTAAAAATGCTAAAAAGTAGTGTTTGGAGAAATGGACGATGTGCAGAATAAAAAATATTTCTGAAAAAATAACGAACAGTAACTTCTCATTGGGCAAATCTCAATGGCCATAAGAGGGATGTTCCTCAAAACACAGACACCCTTCAAAAATGACTGGAACAAGTTCCAGGATGAACGTTGAGTTTATCCACATCACTGATGGGTTTGTCTCAAAAGGACGACTCTCCACACGGCTTTGATTCTTGAGAACTAGACCCAGTGGCATAGTGGGATGGAAAGAATAAGAAATAGAAATCACCTGATCAACGTAGCCCCTGCCTGCAACTTGGCCACGCGCACACGGTCGTGGCCCACAAGAACCTCGACCTCGCCCATCCTCAAGTTCCGCCACACAGGCCAATTGGAAGTGCAAGCCATCGCCTTTGGTAGGATGCCATGTAAGCAAGTACCTTACCACATTTGGAAAAAAATATTCCACATGTGAAGTACATCTTTCACCAAAGTTGGCCAACATGTGAGGGCATTTTGCCAACACGACCACCGTTCACCAACGATAGAGTTTGATCGAGTTCATCTCTTCTGTCAGATCGTGTTCTCTCAGCAACGAAAAACCGGGTTCGAGGGTCCTGCGACGCACAAATGGGACAATTCCTGCGACATGGATCGACATGGTGATGTTGCAAGTCGGAAGATGCGACAGAAAACATGGACAGGCGACCAATCACTGAGGTGCATAGCGTCAAGTACATACTTGTACCTCAACGTTTTGTGCTACCTCCAGTCGTTGAAAAGCACGGCTTTGAGAAGTTGTTCTCAACTTGTCAATACAGGGCCAATGGCAGCCAATGTCCACCCGGGCAACACCTGTGGTTTCCCTCTTCTATCTTCCAATCCACCCAGACCGAGGTGGGGATCCGTGCATGAGATAGTACATCTTCTCAGCATGGTCTCCCTGGTGCCACTTGTTGGCTGTGCAAGCCGCAACGGATGTGGCGAAAAACACCGTTTTGAGACAGCCTGAAAAATGGCTCTCTTTAAAGCCTCCCAGTGTCCATCTACAATATGAGCCTCTGCTAAAGAGATCCTGTTAAGAAAGAGGAAGTGATTCAACTGCGTTATCACTTTTGAAGGGGGGGCCGATGTTGCTTCTGAAGGGCCCCAGTAACACTTTCAACATAGCTGAAAATATCAAAAAACTGCAGCGACACGGTTATCGCCTTTGACCCCTTGCTTTTAAATAGTCGCCGTACGTTTTGACGGCTGCTCGTATGAGTATATCTCAAAAGATCGCGTTCAGACTACTTTAGTGTCATCAATAACAGTATCTCGTTGATGTGGGGGTCCTATCCTCGTTCGAATACTGATGTTGGACAAACAAATAGAGCATGCCGTAGACTACGTATAGTAAAATAAAAGTGGTTGCTCATCTGATCCTCCTACAAGAGCGGCTGACGGCTTGCTGGAAGAGATGTGTATATATATATATATGTGCGGCCCTAAAGTAAAACCAGCTGCATTCTCCGATCGCTTGTATCGCTCAAGAAGCACTTCATCAAGCTTCGAACAAGCATAAGAAGCACTTCCCTTCCTACTGTAGATACGAGTATCAAGGAACCTACTCCCTGACGGGGAAGTTTTCTTGAAGAAGCCCGAGCAATCCTGCGTCCAGTTGCTAGTAGCTTTTGGTTCCTTACTTAATTGCGTAGGCGCCTACTTAATCAAGAAAGGAGGCAGGGTCACGGCCCACAAAAAATATGCACAGAACAATTAGGACATGAACATTGGAACAAAAAAACAAGAAGCTACTCCTCTCACCAGCTTACGAGCCCATGAGCTGCTAAACGGTGTACCTCTCGCGGTACAAACTGCACCTGCTCTACGATGATCTCATTGGCCGTGAAGAGCTCCACGGAAAGGTCTTTGATCAACCTCCCGTGTTATCAAAGGTCAGGGTTGCAGGAGGTGGCCAAGTGGTGGATCCAAAATAGGAGTGGAATGCATGAGTCCACAATGATCCACAACTCCAAGTGCGACCCAGGGGGCCAAATGCTCTAAACGAAGAGGCCAAATACACTGGGATCAGAGCGATAAGCTTTTTCCAGCATTGAAACACACCTGGTTGCTATCAATTTTCAGTTTCTATAGATCTGTCAGAACAACATGCAGGCGCAAACTTCCTTGCTGATGTCAGGTGACGTCAGCCACATGAGTAGGACTCTCAAGTCAGGAAAGTGCTGCATCCACCAAAACGTGATCGACCCCAAACCTAATGTCTCAATACCATGGGGAATGTGTCGGCCTGGTCAAGAAGGAGCCATCACACTCAGCGAAGAACGGGCTCTTCCTGAGTTTCTCCTCAGTGCGGGTCTGACTACATGGCCTCAACCGAAGAAGTGGATGAAAACAAGGCACGCACAGCTTGCACAGGCTCCCTGAAAACAGTACGTAGTTTTGCTTTTGAGCAAAATCCCACTTTGGACCCCTTCTCCACACCTCTTCTTTGGGCACCTTGCACCGCACCCCTCATCTGTGGACGGTTCCAGTCCGAGCTACATGGCTCAAGGTGCCGGCCGTGACGGAGGTGGACGCCAGAAAGCGGGACATCGGCATGGCGTCGCCGTCGCACCGTGACGCCGCGGGACGACGCCGCGGACCCGAAAGCTGGACGGGGCAGGCGGTCGCTCGGGCAAGGGGTGTTCTTCTGTCTGTGCTAGGGTGACTCTCAGTCTTTTCTCGTGCTTTTTGGGTATCGCAGCCTCAAATGATGTCCGACTTTTCGAAGGGTACCGACATGTTGATTTGCTCTGATTGCTGGCCAGACATCTGCCCACGAAAGGATGAGGAGGCAGGCCAACTTTGATGATGTCCCGCAAAAAAGCTGAGAGCCCAAATGGCTCTATTCAGAAACAGCTCGACCATTCATACACCATTCACGCCTATCAAATGTGCTTCCAACAATCACTTCATTCATGCAGACGTACTTCATTTCAAAGTGTGAATGTGACAAGGAAGTCTTAGACGCACCCATGGCTGCTTCGTCTGTCCTACCTGTCCTTCCAAAACATGTTTGCGGCACTGTCCTGGCCAAAAAATGAGAAGCTGCCTCAGCTCAGCCCCCCAGCCAGACAAGGAGGCAGGCTCAGTAGGATCAGTTGGTGGGGGAAGACCCAAAAAACCTGAAACAGCAATATATACATATCAGAATTTACAATAACCAGCTACAATCATGTTGGAGAAAACAAGACCGGAAGTATATGAGCAACAAGTACAACAGCTGAAACTATTCTTCCCGAAATGTCTGCCAAATGTGCAGTGTACTGTTCTTCGTACACTGTTGAATTATGCGGTGGATGTCAGTGTCCTTCGGACATGATGGTAGCCCACCCTAGAGTTACTAAAGTTACTAAAGCTGCCTTCTCCAACTGTATGCTATACACGAACAGGTTGAAAAGTTGAAATGACAATCAGCGCAAACTTTGAGTCACGCTGAGCATGATAAACTTTCACAGTGCCTGTTCTCTTGCTGGTGCTGCAGCATTGGCTGTCCACTGTCCACCATGTTCTGCTGCCCACCTGGTTCCCAGGTGCAGCAAGTCGCACCAAAAAGACTCTCCACAATCATCCAAGGTACCTTCAGCCCAACAGCCAAAAAAGGTATCTCAGACGTGGCCAGAGAAAGCAGTGCAGGCACCACGTTTCCTACGGACTGGAGTGGATTCCAGCAAGGCACAACAGGGTGCGAGTGAAGGATGGAGGGGCGGCAAGCCACATCAGCCGAATGGCTGCCTTGCAGGAGGAAATGATGACTTGCTCCACTTTCTCCAAAGCAGCAACCATCATCAGGGAATTCCAGGGAGGCACATCGACATGTCCCTCTTTGTTTAGGACTTGGCATTCTGACCTCATGCTCTCGTTGAGCTCCGTCCTTGATTCAATGATGACATCATGAGCATGCTTAGAGCACCGCTGGCGAACATGCGCGTAGCGCTGGTGCCATTGATATTCAAACCTGTGGCTTGCAAGTGCGTTCCAGCTGGCCACTTTCTCCTCATCATCCATGAAACTGTGCAGCAAGCAACCAGTCATATGGGCCTGGTGCATGTGCGTGTCAGAGATGGGAGTTGTGGCATTGATGCAATGTGGCAAAAGCTGGGGAGTGCCTTTGTAGCCGGTACAAGACACCACACAGTCAAACTTTTCACCTGGAAATGCATCACAGCTCACTGTGCCATCCGCGTTCCGCAAGTACTTGAAACTGCTGGCATCTCCCTGGACACCATAGGCATGAAGCATCAGGTTCATGAACACAGCATCTGAAAGTGTGATGATGCCTCCGCGGGTCTTCTCCCTGACTTCTCACAATTTGGACTGCCCACAATATACCAATCCCAAGAATCCAAGTCTTCCAACTCGCATTCCTTCTTCCAATCTTCAGCTGTCACCTCCGCACCCAGCATGGTGAAATGCCGATGTGGGTGGAAGAACATCACGAGGCTTGAAAAGGGACTGTTGAAGCTCCGGCGCGTGTATGCAGTCGGGGATCGGTATAGGCAGCGCACGCTGTTGCGCTGGTGGGTCAAAAGCCGACAGGCATCAATGGAGGACTTGCCGCTCCCCACCAGCAAGACACCTAATTGGCGGCTTTAACCATCCCAAAATAAATAGAATATATAAACGGGATGATCCTTCCCACCTTCCCAAAGAAGACATGGAAAAGCAGAAACAGAAAGCGCCCAAACCACCACCCAGACACGTTTGCCATGCAGGCTCTCAGCATGTTGCTTCAGCTGACTGGAGTGAACTTCCACTGGGACGTTCAAGACCTGAGGATTTCCTCCATAGCCATCGAAGCCGGTGGCCTGCACGACGTGCCTGCCGAAGATGTGGCCACGACGGCCATGTTGCCCGTCTGCATCTCTTGGAATGTAGGTGACCCTTTTCAGCTTCAACTCCTCTTCCAGCGCAACGCCTGTCACTTCTCCAACGAAGTGTGCGTTCACCACGCGTCCGGCGATCTTTCCAGCGTACCGGCGCACTTGCTCACTGGAAGCTTGGTGCCTGGAATCGGTATGAGCCTCGGGCTCGTCGTAGGGAAGGCCTGGCAGAGCATAGCGATAGGTGGGAATGTGCAGCTTGACGTTGTCGGCAGCATCCCACCAAAGTCCCCCAGCGTGTTCCTCTTTTGAGACAAAGGCCATCTTGAGTGATGCATCCTTTCTCTTCAGAGCCCAGGCGATTCCCAAGCTGGTGAAGCCATATCCAATAAAGACAATGTCAAACTCGCTCTCAACCTACAAGGTTGTTCAAATGTTTGGACATGTTTGAACTTTCTTTGCCTTTGCTTGGGCACCGTGTGTCTGTGTGCATGTTTATGATGCACGCTTACACAAAACTGGTTTTCTTTGGCATGCACAGCTTTCTTGCGCCTTCTTCTGCAAATTACATGTTTTAAACAGAGCTATTCTCCCTTACTCACCTCCAAGTGGTTCTCAACCTGATCTTCATGGGTGTTGTCAAGATCGTCAAGGCATGTAGACCCGGCAGACGTGATGCGTGACAAGCCCACGTCTTTCGTTGCCAACAAGCTCTCGATGCTTTTGAGCTGATCTCCATTCCCACCGGTGTCTTGGAAGTCAGCGCACAAAGACATGTGTCTTGGCAGGATTGAACAGGTCGAAGTCAGCTTAAGGTTCTGCGGGCCAAACGGCTAACAGAGAAGGTGCGACATCCAGAAGGGAGAGTGCAGTGCGACAAGGAGCTTCTCCGAGTCTCTGCCGGCCTGCTTGTCTCTCTGGTCTTCAAATAGCTGATTCTTGCCCTGTGGAATTGAGGGAAGGGATGCAGAAACAAAGGCAAGTTGCTGTTGGAGATGGGTCCTTTCTTTCTTTGCGGCACGCATGTCATGTTTGTTCGTTTTTTGAGCTCAGGAGTGGAACATGACCTCCTCCTCATACTCGTAGCCCACCTGGTCAAGCTGCACTTCTATGAGCAGAGTTCACGTTGGAAGATCCCTGAAAATGCCCAACTGATGTGTCTGGCGACGGCGAGACAGAAAACCCAACTTGGGCATGTGGACGGTGCATCGACTCGTCACCAGTGTCACCACTGTTTGTGAAGCAACGTACTGTAAAACAAAAGAAAGGAACTAGGTACTTGTAGTCATGTCGAAGCTCCCAAAAGTATTGGTCAACTGGGACCATTCGCTGTCAACGGCTGTCGTACGGCTGTTTGGGGCTCCTCACCTTTGGGGAGGCGCCGATTGGCTTGAACTCAACTTCGCGGCCTGCTTTCGGCCGTGGCCAAGGGTGGAATGGACCCAAGGGTGGTGGGTGGAGTGAACACCCGAAGCTTCGCACCAAAAGTTCAGACCAAAACCGGTCAAATGGGGGCCCATTGAAAGAAAATGAAGACAGAACGATGCAGATTCTACTTCAGCTCTGCTACCGGGAAAACCGAAACACACACCTGCATTCTCGCCTGGTCGTCTGTGACCTTGAAAGAGTTGATTCTTGTCCTGTGACCGAAACAGCGGGCGCGGTCGTCTGGTCGTCCATCGTCCGGTCGGTCGTCCAGCCGGTCGTCCGGTCGTCCAACCGGTTTGGCTCCGTCCTGGTCACCACTACAGAAGAGGCAAACCATGCAAACGATCAGGCCAATCCTCGATCCAATGCGTGATACGCGCAATGATCACGCATGTGCACGACCCGCGGAAGGATCCATGGGCTGGGAGGTGGTGTACATGGCTTAGGTAGGTAGCCAAATGTGACATCGTTAAGTTTGAGCTGGAAGTAGACGGAAGGATAAGTTCTGCTTGCAGTATCAAAGGCCCACCACTTGGGAATGTCAGAGGTGGAGCGAAGCAAACCGAGTAAAATTGTATTGAAACTGATTACAGTATGTGAATCAACAAACAAGGTGTTAGTGGGCATGTCTTCCACCTTCGAACATAGCTGTTAGGCTTGAAAAAGCAAGCCCAAGCCGGTCCAAAGCACAAATCACTTGCCAAGAGCTAGTAAAATCGATTTCGCTGCACTAATCAGACACTTCACCACTTATCATGGATGAGTAAGTCAGGATCCATCGTACGGCCGGTTTCTCACTTGCCATAATCCCAGTAACTACTAGCGTGGCACTTGTTCCTAATAGCTTATTGTGACTACTAGTAAGGCACCTGTTACTACTAGCGTGGCACTTGTTACTAGTTGGTGGCCGCACCCTCCACAAACCAGGAAGGCGAAGGTCATGGCCTGAAACGGAGGCTCCCTCCGATCGACTAAGGGGGCGGGCCCGAAGCGCCGCCTGGGTCGGACAGCCTTGATATAGAATTGGAGTTTAACAGTTCTGACATGTTCTGACTCTAAATTCGAAGTCTGTCGTTCCATGACACGACATGATTCTGTTCGTTCTGGCTTCCCCTGGCAGAAAGGATATCCGGCGCGTCTCACCTGTGGAGTGCCCTCAACACCAAGTCATGATGTGGATGTCTCGAAGTGTCAAACATACGAATTTGATGTCAGTCAAAACCCAAATGCCCCTCTCACGGACTCATGAACGTTCCCAGAAGTCAACAGATCTCACCAATCTCAGTGAAGACCTCAGCTCCTCAATTCTCGGGTGGATAACATCTCTGCCGACCTCAACAGAAACCTCCCCCGTCGCCTGTGGCGCGGTCAAGGCTTTGCTGGTGTGCACCTTTGGCTCCGAGCACCTCCTGACACCACATCGTGACGCATCGTGACGCATCGCGACGCATCGCGACGCATCGCGACACGGGGTCCAGGAGACCAGGACGTCTGCGTCGTGTATATATATATATATATGTTCAAACCGAGGCCGTCTTGGCCAAACAAGGGAAACCTATCCCAAACGCGCGGCCGCCCCTTTTTAGCCTTGCCTAAGCCAAATGGGTTGCCTGTTCACGAACGAATGCTTACGAAATGCCTGCTTGCTTGGACACTGCTTTTAAACTCCTATTATAATCTTTTCTTTATCGAAAACTTCAAGCACAAATCTTCCGGACTCGTGCTGCAGCATCGAACGCAATCGGCATGCTTTCGTCCAGCCATAGATCACTTCTTTTTCTCACGAGCTTCTGTTGTTCCAGGGTAACATGTGCTCTCGGTCTTCTGCTCGAATCCCACTGCCTGTAAATACTTGGCCAGATCTTCGAATCGGCCGCCCCGATTCTTTCCATGATCACAAATCCACTTCAGATAAGGAGCACGCTTGGGGTCACTCACCAGCTCACGGTAAGATAGCTTCTCACCTGCCACCTTGGGCAATGCACAGATCGTTGAGCCCCAGTCCTGGAGGTCGGTCACTCCAGGAGGAAGATCAATGGCCTTGGCCTTGGGCGTCACGGGCATCTGACCGGCAATTTCCTTCGGAATTGCACGCTCACACATGATGGAATGTCCGTGACCCTCTTCATATGTCACCGGCTCCCACTCATCAGCCTCTGGCTGGGCATGGTCTCGAAGTCGTTTGCACGAATCGTTCATTGAGCCAGCACTCTCCACACTTGCTTTGGATGAGATTCCGTACTGATTCGCACGGCTGAGGATCTCACGAGCCGCTGCAAGCTCCTCAAAAGACACTGGAACTGAGCGGGACTCCATGTCGAATCACCCCTAGACTCTTTGTGAAGGCAAATGTCTCGCCCTCGTGATCGGCTGAACCAAAATCCTTCGAGCATCGGCGGTCAGTGATCTGAACTACACCGTTACCGCTTGCATCATCAAACAACTGCAAAAATTGAAAAACATCTGACCTAAACAATTTTGCTCCCTTTTCAAGGTTCTCCCACATGAATCCAGGCGAAAGCCAACTGCACATCAGTTGATTGACGCTCATTGAAGGACATGTTATCTATCGTGAATCGGCATTATTCTACGGCTCAAGGACTTATGCACCAAATTATGCTATCATGCTCGCAAAAACTGCTTTGCTCAGTGAAAAACCCTCTCACACTTAAGCATACAGACTGTACAGCATGAACCTCAACCTTCGGCCTTCTCGACCTTCTGCTTCTCCGATCGACTCTGAGCCACACGACGCCTTCGATCTTTCTCGGCACGTCTGCGATCCATCATGACTTGGTCGTCCGCTAGCTGGTAGCGGGAGCTGCGGAGAATTGATCTTAGCAAATCTACTGGCTCGGCACGATCTTTCGTGAGTGCGTCTGCTGCCATGTGAGTAGTGGGGCACCATCTGGGTTCCAATCTAGTCCGTTGGATACACTGTCGAATGATAGCGATGTCTATCGCTGTTCGTTTGTCATCAAGAACCCCTCCACTTCCTAAGGACGTCAGATGATCATATAATGACCTACAGTCAGTGATCCCTATTGGTGATCGTTTGTTCAAAACCTCTTGGGCAGATTCTAGATCAAAGGGACCGTCCAAACATTCTGACAACATCAGCAACATCCATTCGCACACACCTGAGGCCGTCGAAAAAGCCTGTGCTTCGCCCGACATGGTCGAAGCTACAACCCTTGGCATGCGGTATGACTTCCAGGAGAAACAATGCACTGGCACATCAACAGCTTGTCGCATCTTATCTGAAGTGAAGCAAATCAACCAACCTCCCTGTGTCTTCAGTTCTGAACTGTTTGCAAAGGCCGCATCCGACCAAAAACACACTGTAAGTTCATCTAGTGGGATGTGTGGTACACGAATCTTCAAATCAGCTTGTTGGCGTGCTCGACGCACTGCTTGATTCACCTGGATCAGGTCTTGAACAGTTGGTGCTGGAAAGCATTGTTGACTGAGCGACGTCTGCACTGCCAAGTCTGGTCTTGACTGAGTGCTAATCCAGCTTAAAGCACCGTTCACAGCTCTCAGAGCTGAAACTTCCTGCGGAGTTGCTAGGAGCCATGGTTTTCTGGCCCTTTCTTTAGAGATCTTTATCGGCTTGATGTGCTCAGCATAGTCTTGCTGTTGGAACTCAATTTCATGGGTCATTGGATCCTGAGTATACGTGGTTCCCAGAAACTCCCCAGTCCCCGATCGCCACTTTCGGAACGGAAATCTCGCACGCAGATGCTGGATTGCCTTCTCATATTGTTTCCCTTCTCCCCCAGTGATTGTATCATCAACATGAGCACCTAAAATGCCTTCCAACTGATTTCGATCATTGTAGCAAAGGTACAGGCAATTGTCAAACTTGCTCTTGGTGAACCCGGCTTCTTGTGCAACCCGGTTGAATTCGCAATACCATTCATGAGGAGCGTCGTTAGCCCCGTAGATATTGCCCAACACCTGTACCAGGGATCCTGCTTCCACGCCCGGCACTCCCCCAGGTGGTAGTTCTGAGTAGACAGGATTTGCAAGAGCTTTGTCCCGGACATCTGCCTCCAAAAATGCTCCTTTAATGTCCCCCAGATGCATGACCCACTTGTTGCTAGTCAACATCTGAAGAATCAAACTCCGTCCAAATTGGGAGAGCGTGGGTGAGTGGCATCTACCAGCGAGCACCTTGGTAAACAAATCTGGGTCATGATGACCACGCAAGCACCATCGACTCTTGATCTTTGATTCTCCGTCTTCATGCTTCTCAATTATCACAAACCTACTAGTCATGATTCGATCTGGCTTCTGTTCTCGAATGCGTTGGGCTTCGCGTGGAGCGATGACTCGAAAGGCCTGTTTCTCGTCTCTAAGTGTGGTCCACTCTGTTGTCTTGGAAGCGTCTATCTTTTCTTGCAACTCAGGTGGGTTCTTGGAATGATGTAGCTCTTTCTGCATCTTCTTTTGTAGAAAACTCGCGATGAGCACTTCGGCACTCTCTGCTGGACCAAACTCGGAGACCAAGTCAGCAAGGAGACAAGTCTCATCTGTCTCTGTTCGCTGACTCTTGCTAGCCTGACTTGATGGGTTTTCAGGAGAGTGACTTCTCTTCGTGCCATGAGCTTCGGTCAACACTTCTTGCAAATCTTCCATCTGTGTATTTATTGGTCGAATCACAAATGTCGGAGGACTCTTTGAAGGCTGACGAACTCTGACAGGACCATAGCCCGTGTTTTGCCAATAAGGTTCCGACACCGATCGAACATATGGTTCACTGCTCTTAGTTGTTTGTTTCTCTTCCGTTTCATGAGCGACCGAGTTCGTTGGCACATCTGATGTCATCTCTTCTGAAACACGGTCAGGACCTACGCTGGAAGACGGCACGCCTGAAGGGATCATCCTGCGTTCACGGATCCTGAACTGTGTTTCTCCCTTCCAGGGATCTTCCCCCCAGTTGGCATGCTTGCTATCGGCGTCTGACAGTGGTTGATGGACTACACATTCTTTGGTGTCTGAGCGGATCGTCTTCCTCCAGTTATCCAACCACATACCTTTGATTGCGGGGTCATCCTCTGAAGGCCAGAACAATTGTGTCCGAGGCTCCCTGTGGATGCGACACATGTACTCACCCCGCTTCAACCAAAAGTCTTCTTGTTGTTGTCTGGCGACAGCTTGTTCAGGTGTAGGTGTATTGGTGAAGTCAACGAACTGGGTACCAACCTGTTTTTTTGTCTGTCTCGTTCAACAAGGACGACAAACCCAACATCTCTCTTCCATCAGCTTGAGCTAGAACACGTTCACTTTCAGTAGTGTGCCTTAAATGTTCAGGAGCTACTTTGAAGATGTTCTTGCGGTGAAAAATGAGGAAGTTGCGCCCAATCTTTCCCATGACGATTGCAACCCCATACCACCTGCCTCCTACCAACCGAACGCCTTTCTGGTATTTCTGAGTTCGCCAGTAGGCAACATAGTCACCTGGCAGGAATTCCCTCTCAGCTCTTGGTCGTGCGTTCAAGGCGGTTCGGAGACTGTTGTCATCCTGGGACATCACGAGGGCCATACGAGCTTGTGCTCTAATGGCAGCTGCTCTCTCTGCAGTTTCATCGTGCAGAGGCGATGTAGCCGCCACGGGACACGGCCACTCTTGAAGGAGGTCGCTTGCAATCTTGGGATTTCTGCCGAAGACCAACTGACATGGTGACAACCCTTTCTGGTTTAGAAGCTCATTCTTGGCATTACACGTTTGGATGACACACTGTTCGTACTCGGCTTGACTCTTTGGTTGGACCTGATCAAGTACCTTTTGCAAGATCACCTCAAACAAATGGCCATGCTTCTCTACCTTTCCTAGCTGGTTGTGTGCTTCTGCCGCAATGGTCGAAATGCGAATGCCATCTTGTTCCAATCGTTCAAACACATTTTCAGCTGTATTGGTTTTGGCGGAATCGACCACGACCTCGACTGGAGCTCCTGCCCACCGTTGCCACGATTCCAAAAAAATCTTCTTCAGAACCTCGGAAGTCTCCTTCTCAAACAGTGGAATCATCATCTGGAAACTGGTCGCGTAGTCAACGATGTTCATGCATTTGACTTGTTGGTTCACTCTCCAACCGGGTAGGAGCTTCACGTCCCAACCAACCTTGTGGTTAAAATCATACACCTGCTCTGGTTTTGCGGGCAAACATGGTGTGGGTCGTTGTCTCTGCTGGCAGATCTCACACTGCTTCTCTACTTGCTCTGCAGCTTTCAAAGCCAGTTCATTGGCTCCGGCATTCTTCAGGATGCGACCGAGGGTTCGAGTCGACGGATGACCTAGATTGTTGTGCAGTTTCTTAACTAAAAGACCAATTTCCTGAACTTCGGAAGCTGCACACACTTCGGCAACCGTGCTCTCACTCGGTTCCTGCAAACAAGAAAAATGACACAAATGCCATGCTGGACGAATGCACTGCAGCCATGTGTGAACAAACATGGGTGTGTACTCTGCGGCTCGACTACTTCGTGTTTCCCCCCCCAACACATGCCCCTCTAATGACTGATGAACGACGTGTCCTGGACACTGCAAGGCGAGATCGGCCATGTCTTGATGGGAAACTGCAAGTCCAGTAGGCTTCAAAATTGGCCTGTCGTTGTCTGCGTCACGGAGGTCATATGCACACATGTTGGCTTTATGCACGGTCAGCTGTCCCGTCTGCAACAACTTCTGGATGGGAGGATGTCGCCACAAATCACTCGTCCATGGATGTTCAAGTAACACCCGTCCACCACGTTTCAGTTGCTTCCGGATCTGCTGTGCGCAAAAATCTGCTTGCGCTCTTGCTTGTCTTTGATGCTGTAACTGTTGCACCACTGGTAACTTGTGTCTATTCAACCGATACCAGCCCCCCCAATGTTTGCACTCGGGACAACAGATCAACAGCTCTGGTTTGGCTTCATCTAATTGCTTGTCGACTTCATTCTGCACGCTGGGTTTGGTGAGATCCCAGCCCTGCTTGATGTCGAAGGCCAATCCTCTCTCCCCCTGTTTTTCCACTGCTGCTGTGAAACGAGGTGGAGAAAACAACTCGGCCACTGTCACGCTGCCCTGACTCTTGGTCCATGCCTTCTGTTGAGCCAGCAAACAACGTTCTTCTCGTCTTGTCATGACTCTCGTGCAGCCTTCGAGCAGGTCTGACGAATCCTCTTCGTCAGTCTGTCCTGACTGGTCACTTTCTGCTGTCTCCTCCAACACCTCACGGGGCTCAGGCTCCTCCACCTGAGGGAGAGGCTCCTCACACAGAAACACTTCCGTCTCCTGTTCATCGTCCATGACATTCAGGATGAATTGACCCGCCGAGTTCTTCTGCAGAGGCTGTGGCTCGGATCCAGCAATAGACATGGTCTCTGCCTCAAAGTCCAAGCAAGCCCTCAAGCTCTTCATTGTGTTGCGACTGAGCAGCAAGGGTGCACTGCCTTTGATGATGCAGCATTCAATTCGACCTGGCTTCCCATGGATAGTGACCGGCATAGACACCACCCGTTCCGACAGCTCCTCCTGCCCATTCCCAAATCGAAACAAATTGTGCTGAGCTCGAGTGGGTGGAGCAGGCATCTTCTTGTCGTGGTACAGCCTCAAGAACTGGTTCAAGGTCTCCTGACCAATCAACGTTCTGCTGCAGCCAGAGTCGATGATGCCATAACCTGGCGAGGGCACCAAATACACTTCTTCAACCATGGCAGCCCCATGAGCCTTGTCTCTGTCGGGTCGACTGCCACTTGTTGTGCTGCTGCTGCTCTTCTGGGGACAATTTCGGGCCCAATGTCCGATTTGATTGCATTTCCTGCAGCGGGACCTCTTCTGTAGATCAGTGACTTCTCGAGTAAACTGCTTCTTCATGGCAATGGCTTGGCCAAATTTCCTCGTTTTTTGCAGCTTGGAAATCTCAGACCTACGTTCTTTCCAGGTCGCAGCCAGAACTTCTGCAATCTCATCCTCTTCAAAGATCTCTGTTGCGGTGTTGGGCTCTGCTTGCATGCCATGCTCTGCTAAAAATGCTTCCACTTCATCAAACAACACGGAGTCCGGCGCGTCCTCTGTCAATGCACTGTTGTCCTCAACAGTCACCTCATCATCCGGTTGTTGTACGAGTAAAGCCGATGCTGACTTGCCTCTTCGGCTCGCTCGAAACTCTGGAAAGCAACTGCGCATGGCCTGCACAACTGTCTCAAACTTCAAATCGCCCTGCGTCTTTGCAGTGACAATTGCACGTTGATCAGCTGAAAGTCCGGAGGAGTGTAAACAGATCCAGCCACGGGCTTCCGTGGGGAAATCTACCGACACCTTCCGTCTGCACTTGGAGAATGTCTCTTGCACCCTCGATGTCCAAGCTGCCATGCTTTCGCCATCGGTGGCGGAAAGCTCGAATACCTCCTTCAAGCATTCAGCAAGCCAGTCATGGGAAAGACGATCAGGGAATCTCTCCTCGAGTGCAGCCCAGATATGTTTGTCGCCATTCTCTTCCTTCAACCGATCCAACGACAAATGCTCAACTGCCTCTAAGGCTAGGCCATCAAGCAAACACAGAACAAATGGGCCACGGTGCGTGGCCGACATGTCCTTGCTGGAAGCCATCCGTGCTTCCGCCCATAACTTCCAGCGCCTGTATTCCCTGGGGTCCAAACTCTCACCATTGAAACGTTTGGTATTTCCCCCACCAGAATCATTGTTTGCCATGGCACATACGTGACACTGCTTTTGGTGCACAAGTCCTACCTAAGACTCTACAACACAACCCCTGGAGGCCCCCCGTCAGCGGGGGGCTCCGCTACCAATGTTCAAACCGAGGCCGTCTTGGCCAAACAAGGGAAACCTATCCCAAACGCGCGGCCGCCCCTTTTTAGCCTTGCCTAAGCCAAATGGGTTGCCTGTTCACGAACGAATGCTTACGAAATGCCTGCTTGCTTGGACACTGCTTTTAAATATATATAGTATTCATGTTTCCTTTTTTCTTGGTTTTTCCCCACTCCAATTTCGTTAGGAGCCAGCCACCCTGCCACCCTGATTTCTTGCTAAGCACTCCCTCAGAAAATTGATGACCCTACCTTCAGCAAGCATGCTGGTTCAGAACTGGTTCACTGCCACACACTCAGGCCATCACCCAGCTCTTGCAAACTGAAGAAAGCATCTGATACTTGTTGCAAAAGCAGTGGTCGGACAAAAGAATACGTAGCTGCACTACCAACCCCCCTCGAGACATCTAGTCGTTGAACGGATCCCCTATGAAGCTTCGAGTCGTCCAAAAGCTTCGCTTCGCGCTGGACCGCTCGTCCGGACCGCGAGTCCGCCCGTCGGGCGCGTGCGGAAGGCCGCCCGCATCTTCCCCGAAAAGCAACATGGACCGGAAGAAGTGTTCACCCTGAACGCTGATTGTACTTGACCAAGACATGAATTTGGGGGTCGCCTCAAGAGAGAGCAGCTCTGGCCAAGGCTCTTCCGCCAGGCAAAGTCAATCGGCTTGTGCTTCATCACATAGATGGTCACCTGAGATGCTAAGAACAAGAAAAACGCTTCAACTAAGAACTCCCAATGAAAACAAGTGTAAAAATACTACAGTATGTAGTTCGTTGCCTTGCAATTCTGGTCCTAAGAGGTGAGTCTCACACCAGTCACACCATTGGAGCGAGTCTGCGACACCAAAAGAGTCCGCTGAGCAGTCGAGGAACCACGATCAAGCTCACCCCAGCCTTGTGGCAGCTGTAGCGAACCTGAAGAAGTCCACATGTGAAGCCCGCAATCGCATGCAATCTCTAAGCTCTCCAAGCCCCACCCCTCACTGCTTTCCCGCGACCGCATCTTTCAAAGGCCGTGGATTCTGCAAATGTCTCATTATATAAATATCCGGATATATAGTAGACCATCGATCATTGTGTGACCTCTTATATAAGAAAAGACAGGCAAGAAACCAGACAGAGGTATTCTTCGAGTTCTACAAATATGCGACCACTCAAAAATCCTTCATCAAACACCCATGTCTTGAAGCATTCCATTGACGCAAAAAAAGGCCCAGTCGCCGTCATCGCATTGGTGTTTGCCTTGGGTGTTAGTCTTGTTGATTCGCCACAATGTGTATGCATTGATCTTCCGATATCATGTACAGAAAGACGTGGACTTCAGGTGTGCATTGGCCGCTTTGTGATGAAAACGTGACATGTCCGAGAGAAGTCCGCCAAAACCAGATCTGGACAATTTTTTAGTCAACACTCTAACAAACAATCATGTGATAAACAATGAAAAACATCTGATCGGATGCAAACATGCTTTCAGTAAGATGCCAATGATCTGCGCATGACCTTGTTTGAGTGTTGAACATCCTCTTGACGGGGCACTGGTCCCGCTTGCGGGTTTCTCAAAACATGCGTCAGGTGACACATCATTGACGCTTGGCAGTTCCACAAGTGGTGACTGGAAGCCTACAGCGAGCAACCGTCAGATCCGACTGAACCCCCCGAGATCAGTTTGTGGTCGTTTTTTGGAGCCACGTCATCAGTTGCTTCCGCCCAACTGCCCAACTGCCGCCAGCCAAAGTGCCCGCAACGAAGACCTGGAGGCTTGGGGGTGGAACATGACGCGTCGAATCGGGCTCATCCAGGAAGGAAAGCTGAGTCAGTTTCCAGGGGGTCAAACAAGTAGAATCATGAGCGTTTTGGGGGTTGCATGGTCCAGATGTGCGTGCAAGCATGCATCTGCCTTTTCATAAGGGGTCCTGAAACAAATGTGAGCCTTGCTGGCAGGTCCAAGCCTTGTTTGGCCTTGCTCCCATCGTGTTCTGACAATGTAATTTACCTATTTGAAATTTGTGGTCATGTGCCCTATCCTCTTGTTCAATGGTTTGGGATGTTTCTTGCCGTGGCTGGAAAACATCGCATGTCTATGTTCCCTTCTACCAGGCAGATTGTTGGGGAGTGGAATCTCAAGCAAAACCGTCCAGCAACATGACTGACGCCCCTGACATCTCCACTGAGGAAACTCTTCAACAAAACCCATGTGAAAGGGAAACAATGCAGAAATCGACTGGGAAACGGCTCAAAATCCTCTCGATTCTACGACCTGTCCAATGTTGGTCCACTCAAACCCACCGCTCCGAAAGCCTCACAAAGGCCTTCAAAGGTCGACTTCCGCAGAAAAGCTGCGTCCGAGCCACGGCTGCGTCTTCCGGAAGAGCTCCGACGTGGGCTGGACCACGTACGCACGGAGGATCTTTCGGTCAAAGGACCTCGGCTCAGCGAGGACGGTCGCTAGGCACCATGAGCCATGAGGGGACCGAGTCGGTGTGGGACAAAGACCAATGCTGTTGGCTGACAAAACCGCAAGTCAAAACTTATCAAAACGATCAGGCTGGGCAGCTAGCCTCCAACTCGCAAGTCTGAGTCTAGAAGTGGAAAATGACTGCATGGGACTTCCATGTGCTTTTTCGATGTGTTTCGCATGGGGCTACGCCGACGCCAGCTGCGCATCTACCGCCAGGCCACAGGTCTGGGTGGGGTTGAAAAGCTGGTGGCAGCTGGTGTCCTGGCAAGGCAGGATGGTGAGAAAAGGTTCATCCAAGCCCTGTTTCAACCAGAATTCTTCCTGAAATCATTTGCCCTGGGTCACGTTCGCAGGAAGTTTAAACCTCTTATTCCAAGAGTTGATCTTAAAAAGCATTTACACCCTCAACCCCCCACCTTCGGGATCCAGCCGAAGTTCCACGGTGGTCTTCACCTCCTCCAAAGGTCACAAGCACACGGACAGGGTTCGTGGTTCGTCGCTTGCATCGGCACCAGGCGAAAGGCACTGCAACTCTTGGAGACAAGAAAGGAACAAAATGATACAACATGCAGGGGGGTGTGCGATGCTATGATGCATATATCGACAAAGGGACGATTGCCGGCCATTTCGATGGTGGGGTCGGATGCATTCATCCAGCGCCGTGTTTCGATGACCAATTTGAACCTATATATCAACCTATCAACCACCAGAGACGTTCCCAAACGAGGCTACTGCTCACGTGACTGCTCACGTCACTGCTGCTCTCCTTCGGAGAAACCTCCAGGGTCTCAGGCTGACACCTCGATATCCATGGGTCTCATTGAGTCTCAACATACCCGCTTTCACCTGACCACAGTTCACCCACCTCGTTCCATAATGATTCAACGAGCACGAGCACATTCATGACATCTGTCTTCTCCAACCCCAGCCTTTCAAGCAACCACCCTTGCCCCGTTCGACCTTGACTGGATGTCCATCATTGTCCATCTGTTTATCGTTCATCACCCAACCAGGGCTTCAGTTCGACCGATCCCAACAAGCCAAGTCACTCAGTTCCTTTTGTCAACGGCTTGGTACCGTCCTCTGCCCCTGGGACGCGGGGGTCTGCCAGGCCGGTTTGGGATGTGAGATGCGAAACGTCCGACGGTCTGCCAAAACATGTGAGTCTTCCAGAATGGTCTCTACCGGCTGAAGGTGGATGTAGATCACAACCCCCAAAAACTATGACTTGGAGGTCGGCCAACAAGAAAACCCGAACACGATTTGCGCCTGACACTGCCTCCTTTGGGCAATGCATAAAACCGGGCAAGGTCGTTCCTTTCGAGACCACCTGGAGACCATCAGCGAGAAGGTCAAGAGCAATCTTTGGCAAAGCCAAAAAGCATGCTGCCACCATGGAGGAAGAGACTTCTGAGCTTGGCCAAGCTGCTAGAACGATACAATTTCAATAACTTCTCACGCAAAGAGGCGCATGTGCTGTGCAGAATCATGCAGTAGCACGTCCCTCACCTGGGTCTTGTTCAAATCGCTTTTCAAATAGACGTCCACAAACCTGGCGTGCTGTTTGCACGTTTGGTCACTCAGGTCGGTCAAAATCGTGTTCAAAAGACGAGTCTGACCCGAATTTCAGAAGTTCTCAGTGTTCCGGGTGATCATGATCTCATACAAGGTCCAATGTTTTCATTTTGGCCACTGCTACATTGGAGAGAGTGGTGGTACAGCATGTTGACGGTTGATGCGTGTAGTTGAAGCTGACTGCCCTGTAAGAGGACTGGGTTGTCCAAGACTGAAGGGGTGCTCAGCTTTGCAGGAATCCCTTGAATCACATATATATAGAGAGAGAGATCAGAGACATGTGGTTCGTTTATCGGACGACCCTGTTTTATCAGATTGAAAAACGGGTACGGTCAGCTGCCCACCACAAACAACAACGACAAGTCGAGACCTGTCAAGATCTGTTGCTGCGCTGTTTGACAAACTCAACCACAACAAAATCCGTCGCGGTCGCTGTGGAGCCCTGCCTATACACAGAATCGCCGCAGCGCTTCCGCCAATGCAAATGCAACACCTGTAGCTCTTTGAGGTTCCCGTTGGGCGCGTTTCCAATAACTTTGTGTCGATTTGACCCAACGGCAGTTGCTGCCCATTCCAACAGTTGATGGCTAGGAAGAGAACATGAAAAATGTCAAAACCCACTGACTACCCAGCTTCGGTCGATAAATCCGTCTTGGAGCAGCAAGCGTGTACCACAAGTCAGGCTTTGCTATGCTTTACTGATTACTCACCATACTTGCCAATTCCCTGCGATCAACGCATGCTCCCCGTACTATGTTTAAATGCGTGGAGCGCCGTTCTAGCACCTCTGGCGCATGGGCTGCAGACAGCACCGCTTGCTCCAGGGCCAGCTCGACCTCCTGAAGGGCACATGTGGATTGGCAAGGAATCTGGAATGCTGAGCGGCTCATGCCTGAACAAGTCTTTAAGTCGACCGGAACTGACCCAACGTCGCCATGAAAACTTGCGGGCATGCAGAAACCCGAAAGTTGTGACAGCCTTGCAAAACGCCATGGGCTGTGTGTATATATATATATATATTTGTTTACAGTACTTGGATCATCTTGGATCCTTGCAACAAGCTGCGCATTCACCCTTGCTCTGTTTCACACGCTCTACAGCTGTCCATCACCCCTGCACCCAGACAGCTGTAGAGCACCGAGATCTCAAGGACTTCGCTGGTGGTCACCTGAACACAGCTCGGAGGAGAGCAAGCGAGGGGACGGCAGGGTCTACAGCAGCATGGGACTCAGGGTCTCCATCAGATAGCTCCAGGTTCCTAGTCAGTGTGTCCAGTCCAGAAAGGACTTGAATCCGGACCGGCGGGGCTCGCAAGGATTCAGCCACCCCAACCCCAGTTTAGTCTGCCATCTGCCGTCTGCCACAGGGACCACCACCATCAATCCAGGGATCTTCAATGCCTAAAGCTCCGAAAGGCTGATTCTGACCACGGGCAACCGGTTTCCAAGCGGACACCCAATGAGATGGTATTGGTGAAAAGCGGACACGCCAGCAGAGACCCTTAAGCCAGAAGCACTCAAGAAGCCCAACTTGGATCCGTAGCACTTCAGTGAAGTCCAAGACATACGCGATCAGGTGGCATGGGAAACGTAAAATCTTAGCAGCCTTAGCACGGAGGGAACTGATGGAACTCACTGAACTCAGCCACTGTGGGGTCTCTCCAGCCACATCGGACGTTTGCTCCAGCCACCCACCCCCCACCCCCATGCCACACCTCGATGGCATCCGCAGAGGCGAGCCCTCGGATCTCCACCTGTCCGAAGAAAAAGCGCCGGCTTTTAGGTCCGAAATCCAGGGTCCCACCCACCGACTATCAAAAGCCAGTGCGACCCGTTTGGTCACCGTGAAATAGAGATCGTCTTCTCTGGAGGTCCTGACATAGCATTTCTAGTGAATTCTCTCCTTCAAAAGGCCCACGCAACACAGGTGAAGAATCTTCAGAGCTTCCAGATTGATAGAAACTGCTCACAGATACATGTTTGACGGTCAAAACTCTAGAACCTCAAAAGTCGGGCCAATTCTTGCTTGACTTTGGTGGGTTTCCACCGCGGTGACCCAAAAGACCACCGCGGGGTTCACCCCCGCCTTCAGCTGCTCATCACTGGAGACCTTCGGCATCTTCAGGCGCATCGCACCCAAGGAGCTGAACTGAAGCTTGGTGACCTCTTCCAGGGTGCCTTGAGCGACCAGCGGACGACCAGGGCGACGCGGAAGTGGTTGAAAAGAGACCTCCTGTCGTGGAAGTGCCAGCTGCTACTTGGTTGGTTGTGTTGGTGATGTACCTTCCTCGGTGCTACTTCAAGGAAGCAACAAACTCGAGATCCAAGCTTACCAGAAAACATCACCTGCACTCAGCCAGTCCTAGGAGAGTCCTTGGGGCCTTTGACTCATGTGTCACTCCATTGGTCAAATGGCCTGTGTCACCCATTGTGTTCCTAAGGACTTTGGTTGTTTTGAAGGAAACGAAAGTCCTTGTTCGCTCAAAGGGTGCTGTTTCCCCAGTTCTTCCCGCCTTCAGCAGCCAAGAGTGGCGGCACTGGTGCATGGTCCGCGGGTGCCGGGAAGATCAGCGACCTTGGGGGAATGTCCCTGGAAACCACTGGAAACCACAGAGTGAGGGTGCAATGCCTGGGTCGAAAGAAGGTTATATGTCTGTCATTTAGGAAGCAATGCTGGCGGCTACACAAAAGCTGGTATCTGTTGAAAAAAGGTTACCCCAGAATAGATTCACTACTGGCCTCTGACATGAAGAGTTCGTGCACCAACTGGATTGCTCTGCCCACCCAAAAAATGCCGGCACAGTTCTTGGTTTTCGTCCATGGTCTTCAACCCATTTTGCTCCCTGGGGGGCCTCTGCCCTGAGGGCCTCCCTTGGGTCCGCCGAGCTGACCATGGCGCACTTGCAGTGCAGCAAAGCCTTGTCCGCAGCTCTTCAGCCAAGCCATGCAGATCTGCCGGTCGATGGAGGCGGCTCTCTCGCCGGTGAGAAGGGGGGGGCGCTCTTTTCGTGGTTTCACATATATATATAATATACTAATAATAAGCCATTGTTGCGATTCTTCAGGTCATTTCCCAGTGTCCAGATTCAGTCCAGATTGTATATAATACACATCTTTCATATGCGTTCATCATCGTTCTATGTAAGTTAAGTTGCATCATCGAGTAAAAAAGTACACTATGCAAACCGCCGCACACTTACTTTTGGCGGGCAGGTGGTTTGGTTACAAAGTTGTTGCTTCAGCCAACATGATCACCATGACCCCTCCAGCCCAGGACCCCCCCCCCAGTCGCCTCAGTCCGTGGGCCATCCACCTCGGGCGCCAGCACCAAGCGCAGCTCCACTCGAGAGCTCCCTGCGGTGCCGGACCGGACGGTCAAACCGTTTCTCTGGGCGACTGAGTCGCGATTGTTGACGGTGATGGAAAGCTTCGCCCATTGAGACGCCATTTGTGCAGCAATTGGTGCACCTCGGTGCCTGGTCACCGAGGCCAAGCTCGCGTTGCATCACGAACATGTGTGGGGTCAATGACCAAACACCATGGGTTGATCTCATGACCGCCTTTGGCACCAAAAGGCACTTGCACTTCATGTAGACTCTTGATTGATAAAACCCTTTCATTTGGATTGAAAAACCTCTCCCTGTGGCGGGGGGGTACTCATCAACTGTCTACATATATTAATGAACTAATGATACTAATGAACCCTTTTAGGGGTCCCTCTGTCCGTCCCTCGTGGGTCCACACAGTTGGCCTTTCCGCCAGCAGTCATAGAGGACGGTCCTGAGCCGAGTGGGCCCCGAAGCATCCATCGCACATGCGCCCACTTGTGCCCATGGTCTTTGACGAATGACCCTCCAAACATACTCCACAGACCTTGGGTGTTTGCTCGTGGCTTGACTGTATCGCGAATGCCTGCATGGTTCAGTTCCAAGTCTCTGGTGCCCCTTGGCCCACGGGTACCAGCTACAAGGTCCACCCCAGTCCATAGGGATCACTGGTTCGACTCCATAATCCTGACACTCCCGGAAACAGTAAGAGCAGACGGTGAAAACCATCCCACCTACCAGTCCCGTTGTCCGCACGTCAGCAGTCTCACCAGGTCTCCAGTGTTCATCAGGTCAAGTCTTTTCCTCCAATTGCTTGTGACTCGATCAAACACTGGGGACGACCACCATCCTGGATACCTTTTTGGACCATCTGTTGATGTCATGAAACCATGCCTCGAGTCTCAGTCTGACCGGCCAGGGCGCACGTCGTTTTTGAACTGATCATCCTCCGAGACCTCCAAAGGACCTTCGCTCCTTAGAGATCGTTCTGGGAAGGTCCGGAACGGACTCATCGGAAGGTCCCATATTGATGCGGAAGGTCCCATGGTGATATTGATGGGACATGACCATACAAATGCCGTAGATGATAACTTCATATAGCTTCTCTACGTCATGGACAACATGTTGCACCACCTGAAAAGCTGGGGAACTGTCTTTTTGGTCTTCTCTAGCCAAATTGAAGTCCGGCATTTGGGAGCTTCATTCTCCGAAAAGGTCAGTCATTGAGAATGGTTCTCTCGAACAAGTGCTCTGGCAAAAAAGAACATCGAAGCACGTGGTGTTCTCTGCTTCAGCAAACTTAATTTAGCACACAACCCTCTTCCAAACCCAAGCAAGTACCTGAGTAGCTGGATCCCCGCTGATATCCGCTGATCCTTTGGAAATGGAACCCATTTCGGTCAAAGGGACCACCGGGTACCACCGGGTACCGTGACCCCTGAGCTTGGTCCCCCGGTGGGTCACCGTCCCGCGCACCCCGTCCACCCACAGCTCCCAGCGTCTCATGCCGATCCAGCGCCGCCATCAACAGCGGCGTGGCCCCGTCATCCCTTGCGAGCACCGAGACGCGCGCCTGACATGTGGACAGAGTCGGGTGAGGACGAAGTGGGAACTCGGTGTAGTAAGCAGAAAAGCTAAAAGTAAAGTCTTTGAAGCAGATCTAAGGTGGATAAAGGGCTTAGTAGAAGTTGGGTGTACTGTCAAGCTTCATGCTGTCGAGCCGTCCCACCGGCCTCGATGAGAAAGAGTCGACTCAGCTCCGGTTCCTGGGCATTGTCCAGAGGAGGAGTAGCGGAGCTGGTGAAACAGTATTAAACAGGCTCTTTCCGGCAGGCCAAAGTGAAGTACGGCTTTTGGTATGCTTCTCAAGAGGTCTCCCATGTGAAATAGGCACTGGTTGAGGGGCCCACTGTCCAGAAAACCCAGCACCCACGGGCGGAGTGAGGACCTCCCAAAAAGGGACACTACTTCGTGACTTGTGGTACTTGTGGCTAGCTGAGCTGTGACAAGTAACTTGAAGTTGCACTATAAGTTCTATAAGTTATGTTATAAGTTCTATAAGTTCATATGGTAACTTATAAGTTCAATAAGTACCAGAGTCCTACTTATGGAACATAGTAGTAACTTGTGAACTTATAGTACTTATGTTGGAGGCTACTTATTCTACTTATTTTCTACTTATTTTTAGCTATTTTTTAGCTATTTCTAGCTAATTCTAGGTAATTTCTAGCTATTTCTAGCTATTTCTAGCTAATTTTTAGCTAATTTCTACTTATTTTTATAGCTATTTCTGCTTGTTTTCCATCACTGCCTACCTACTTCTATAGCTATTTGTGTATATAGTTTTCACTTTTTAAACCTTCAATATGAAAAGTTTGACTTATGTTCTTTTGGTTTTTCAACAAGACTATATTCAAATAGATATATATCTGGACGCATGCATATGTGTGATGAGTGTGCTTTGTCAAGCGGCCCTGGGGACGCTCTGTTGTGTCTTTTTGCGCGTTCGTGTTGGATCGGTTGCTGTTTTCCGCTGTAGTTTTTGGTTGCCAGAAACGCCAATTGTTTGTTATAGTTGCGTTTCATGGCGGAATGTCAGCAGTTTTTGGCTGCGGTGGCTCGCTACCTGGTTGCCATGAAAGAGAACAGTGGATATGAAAAGATGAGGGAGGACCAGTTCCACAACTGTCGCCTTAAGATGCAGTCGTGGCCGCGACTGAACATGGAGCAGGCATCATCGATTGCAGAAGCATTGAGACACATGGATTGGACACCTGAGCAGCTTCATGACCTACAGCAGGAAGTGAATTCCAAAACCAGTGTGGCTTCCGAGATGGCTCCGAACACTGTCTCCAGAAGACCGCTGCAGGATTACCAGGCCTTTCTGAACTACCTGCCGATGTCCTTGTGGCTGCAGATCGTGGGCGATAAGCCTTTGGAAGGCTTAGCGCTATTGACTCGCCACCTTGGAAGACTTGGTCTGAAGCTGCCAAGCGAAAAAACAGTTTCCAAAGCCACGGCGCTGATGCTCTATAGGTTCCATGAAGAGATGGATAGGGTTGGGCTTCATCATTGCTTTTGTCATGTGAAGCAAACCATGAAGAAGGAGCTGTTGCTGTTTCAGAAGGACGATGGGCGTCCATATGTGCTGTCTCTTCCTGAAGACCCCAGGCAGCTCCCTGAATGCTACAGCAGAGAAGCTTTCGCGAGCGAAGGACCTTGCCAGTGCCAGGTGGATGTGTCAAAGTTGGCCTTCATCCAAAGCTTGGTCCCGGAGAGAATGCCCAAGGATCTGACTCTGAGAAGCTTTGGTAATCCAGCCGCGGATGTCATGAATCTGACAGCTCTGACACGAAGCCGCTTCAACGATAGTGGCAGTGGCCTGAGGAATCTGCAACTGTTTCCGCCCCGCCAGAGGGGTTTGTCGTTGACACAGGGCTCGGCTTCACATGCTTTGGCCGCAAGTGGAGACCTCTTGCCGGTGGAATCCGGCCCCAACTTGCAGCTGGCCTTGCCAAGCTCTGCCGCAGCAAGCTCAGCCACAGCTCCATCAATGAATCGGGAAGCACCCGTGCCTGAGAAAGATGTCACAACAGCTGTGGCATCAAATGTGGAGCCAGACTTGAGCAAGAAAGATCTCAGAGAGGATGTGGGACCAAGTCTTGAGAAGACTGCTCCCGCGGATCCCCAAGACCATGTTGAAGAAAAGCCAAACGACCAGAATGAGAAGAGCCAGTTTGAACGAGTCACCGAAGAGCTTCGGCAAAAGCTTGATGACAAGGCTGCAGTGAAGCAACGGCCTGCTGCTGCCATGAAAAGGCCTGTATGCAAAGACCCTCCACAGTCACAGCAGACAGCTCCATCCAAGAATGTCAAGAAGAAGGCGCCAGAGCCAAAGAAGAAAGCCGCTACAAAAGCAAAACCAATGAAGAAGCCAAGCTCGAGTGGCTGTGGAAAACGAAAGAAAAGTTTCGATGATGGTCGCCCACCGGACGCCTTGAAGCTTTACCCAGACGGGTGCGGCAAATGCCGGTACAAACCAGGATGTTGCCCATCTTGCTACAGGGCGCGTGGTGAGTGGTGATCAGAAGTGGTGTTGGAAAAAAGATGAAAATTGAGCTAACAGCGGCCACTTGGACGCTCTGTTTGTGTTTGCTTGTGTGTTTTGTGGATAGCGGCCACTTGGACGCTCTGTTTGTGTTTGCTTGTGTGTTTTGTGCTTGAGTTTGTTACTGTGTATGTTTCAGGTCTTTCAATTTCATGTGGCCGCAATCTCTACCAGCATCATCTATAAACAGTTAGTAAGGCAGTCAAGGAACATTTTTTATAGGTGCACACAGACGCACAAACACACACTCTTGTCAGCCTTTGGCAAATCAATTTTGGATAGTTCTTATGTTTTTTATGTACACAAGTGTGCGCATACACCTGATGCTGACTTTGCAATGGCCAACAAAAGAAAAGCGCACGCAGACCTTTGTCTCAACTCTCGTCAGGCGCAAAAGCTTGCTGGCCTTCCAAACTGCTCTGTGAGGCAGGCTGCTGAAGTTGCTGTTACCCTGGCTCATGATGAAGCGCCCTCAGAGCAAGACAAGAAGCGTGAGGCGAAGTCCATTACCAACAGAGTGGCGAAAGCGGCCTCAGAATACAAGCAGACGTACATTGAAGAGCTGAATGTGGATGGCCAGACTGTATATGTCACCAACTTGCAGTTGCTGTTGCAGCGGTATTGCCAACAATCGCGTGAGTTCGCCAAAGCGGCGCGCGAAGCATTGAGTTGTGTCTCTGAACCATTGAGTATGGTTGCCTATGTGGATGAGACTGTGAGTGGAAACCCGCTGAACCCTTGCAACCCAAAGAAGAGCCACCTCATCTACCTTACTTTCTTGGAAATGGGGCCCAGGATCGGGCTTCAAGAGTTTTGGTTGGTGGGCGGAGTCATCACCAATGGCAAGGCTGCCTCTGTGTGTGGTGGCCTGAGCGAAGTGTTCAAAAACATCTTGCTGCATTGGCATCATTCGGATCACGGCATCCTACACAGAAGCGGCTTTAGTGTGGAGCTGGAAGGTGAACACTGGCTGTTTCGTTGCAAGCTTCATGCGCTCATCACAGATGAGGCTGCTTTGCGGAGTGTTCTGGGCAGCAAAGGCGCTGCAGGGATGAAACCCTGTAGCAAATGCTACAATATAGTGAGCAAGTGGCATGGTGCTTCGTTTGACTTGCAAGATGGTGAGACCGTCAAAGACATCACAGAAGCAAATTATAGATCATTCTTGAAGTACACTGACCAAGAAGTGTTTGATGTCATTGAACGCTTGAGGCGCGCACATGACGAGTTGCCACAAAATGAAATCGTCAAACGGGAGCAAGTGTATGGGTTTTCATTTTGCAGCAGTGGGCTCCTCGCAGATCCGATCGCTCGGTGTCTTCTCCCCCCGAGTCGATGCTACTATGACTTCCTGCATTGCCTTTTCAGCAATGGTATTGCGTGCATTGAAGTGTGTTTGTTTTGGGATGCTGTGAAGCAAAGCACTGGCCTGACGCTACATGATTTGCAAAGGTTTTGCGAAGAGTCTGGGTTCAACATGAACCGCAGTGGACATGATTGTCGGCTGAAGCGTGTTTTCGACTCCAAGTACATAGAGAAGCCGACATATGGTGGTGATGCCAGCCATTGTGTTTTGGCGTTGTTCATACTGGAGGTGTTTGCGCGACACGTGTTGTCCAGCCATACTGCGTTGACTGGCCAGATTAGATCACTGACTTGTTTGTCGTGTTTGTGCCGGTGGTACTTCAGGTTGAAGGCTGGAAAATGTAAGCCACGTCTGTCTTCGAGTGAGCTCATCAATAACCTTGTCGCCGAACATTTGGGTGTATATGTCGCAGTGTATGGGAAGCAAGCAGTGAAGCCCAAACACCATTTCAATTTTCACTGTGCTGAAGGTCTGGACTTACAATCCCAAACGTTGGATTGCTGGGCAACTGAACGAAAGCACAGGGTGTACAAAAATTGCGGAAAAAATTTTCCTTACAACGGCGGTTTTGAATCTGCGGTCTTGAACAAGCTGCTCATGGTTCAGGAGGAACAGCTGAAGGAGAAAACAGCGGATCCATGTCTTCTGAATGGCAAATCCGCTCCAGATGTAGCTGCGAAGATGCATTGTATTTCGGCAGAGGTAGCTCAGGGATGCCGGTACAACTACCTTGAATACCACAGTGGTGACCTGTGCTTCTTTGACAACAAGCAAAGCTGCGGCGGTCAAATAAATCATTGCTTAGCTGTGTTTCCAAGGGGCCCGGGACAGGCTGTTTACTATCTCTGTCTTAAAGGATTGGAGCGCGTCAGTCAAGCTGATGGTGGAGATGCTTGGCACTTCAGCCAATGGCGAGATGCTGGCTCTGAGTTCCTTGTCAATTTGGCGCAGCAATCAGCGCGCATATTTAGTCCGATCTTGTGGTGGAAACAAGGCAACTATATTGTTGTCAGCTATTGAAGAAAAAGGAAAAAGGTAAGCGGCCTCAGGGACGCTCTGCTGCTTCGTGTGTATAGTGAGACAAGGGGTATAGGCCTCACGGATCATGTGTCGCTTTGTTTAAACTGCTTTGGCTGTCGGTGGAGAGCAATGTTTGAGCCATCACAGGTTCCAAGTTCAAGCTGGCACGGTTTTCAGATTCAAAGCTCGCCATGGAGCATAGCGAGAACGATTTGGCCATCAAGCTCATTCAATGCTGCGACTATGACGATGAGTTTGACGAAGGGCTCAAA